CCCCCAAAACCCCAAAACCCCAAAACCCCAATTTTACTAAACCATATTGAATTTATATTCCTTCCTAGTGGTTCTCTTTACAGAAGCTGGGACAGGAATCTGAGACTGTTATATCAGGTTTGCTAATTGATGTGAACATCTTCTGCATCTCTGAGTTCATTGTCTGTTTGATCTTGATAGCTATGGAGTTAGCCAATTAATTGCTTACACCTACAGTCATCGATATTCCTCGCTGGAGAGTTCATTATAATAAATGGAGACTTTTCAGTTCCAGCACGGTGAGTCTTAAATGTGTTCTGGGTGTTATATTTCTCCAGCCATGGGCTTGATCCATTTTTATGTTTAACAGAGCTATGAAGAGACTCCCAGAAGGAGTTCCGGCCCTCTTTAGTCTCTTTGCTATAGCTTCTTGCAGGGTTGGAATCACTCTCGTCCATCATCTTGAAACCCTCTTGTATATTAGCAATGTTTTGGTTGATCGGGATCTTCAACCTGAGTGACTCAAACTGGCTGTTTTTTTCATCTGAGTACTTCTTAGCCCGAGCAGATGTAATCTTCTTTGGAGTCTTTTTAAGAGATTTACTCAAGAAGCTATTATTCTTCTCCTTAAGAAAGACATCCTTAGCAGTTCTGTTAGTGTGCTGCTTTGATACCATGTCAATGATCTTGATTCTCCTTCGAGGTTCAAGTATTTCCTTCGGAGAGGGCTTCATTTTGGTCGAAAACTGTATAATTTTCCCTGAGCTTTTAACCCGTTTGATCTTCTTCCCTCGTTCTTGAGACCTCTTTTTCATTGATTTAACAGCATTGATTAAGAAATGACTGAAGTTATCCCGGTTGTGCATCCCATGGACTTTATTCTTCCTATTTTGATTTCCTTTCTTGGGATCCTACTAGATTAAACTCAAAATTTCAAGTAATTCTAAGTATTTTCAAAATAAAATAAAAATTATCTGTTGGAAATCTTACCTTTTTAAGCCTTTTCGGCGAATTATTTTTTGCCTTTGGAGCTACGCGTCTTGGAGCAATGCTGCTTCTTCTGAAATTGGCTGCTGTAAGACTTTTCAGTTGACTTTTTGGTGTACTTCATTGTATTGTTGTCTGAAAAAATGTTAAATCCTGATCTTGCCAACGCAATCTGCGCAAGATTTTGGGTAACCAGATTTATGGGAGAAGAAAACTTACTGAACTTGTAATCCTCTCTCTTAGGAGTTGATACTATTTCTACCTGACATTCTAGAGGTATGAGGGAGGCCTTACTTTGAGGGTCAATGTTCATCCCAAGTTCGTTTAGTTCCTTGTCTATTGAAAGTATCTCGTTGGTAAGGTCTTCATTAGGTAAGAATCTTAGTGTTTCCATTGTAATTTCTGCTTTTCTTCTCATTGTCCTTCATCTCTATGGTTTATTTATAAAGTTCATGAAGATTTTAGATATTAGTACTGTAAGATTGTGAATTAGAAAAGAAAACTAGCATACCAATATCCAGCTTATTGATAGGACTCTCAATCAGTCTAAGCCGATGATGAATTTCTGTATCATTTCATTTTCACTCAGTAAGACTGACATCCAAATTACTCTTCTTCTGGCTATCCAGCATTTTGCTAGGAGTTTCAAGATCATTAAAATCCTCTTGAATCATTGTAATTTCCTTAAAAATTGAATAAATCTCGACATAATCTCACTCATGAAAAGAAGAAAGAACTTTCTTGACTAACTCAACTGGGGTAATTTTATTTTTGAGGGCTCATAGTTAGAATTTGCCTTCTTGCAAAAATAGCAAATGCTTCCACTCATTTCCCTGCAAAAGGGGCTACTGCTCCAAGATCAGTTTGTCTAAGCGCCATATTCATAACCTGTTTTCTTGTTTCTCCAAAGAATTCAATATAAGAAATTTATAGGGGTTTTGGGGTTTTGGGGTTTTGGGG